CCCACGCCACCCGCGCCTTCCGGCGGGCTGCCGTGACGCGCACGACGTACCGCATTGTTTTGGTTTATTCATCAGCAAATTATGCCGTGCTGCTCTTTTTTAAGCCTTTTTTTTTCATTTTTTAAAGAGAGAAGGAGTGAGCGTTTTTGTTTTCGCCACCATCCTTAAAAACAATAAAGGGAAAATAATGAAAAGTATTTCTCTCTTTTTTTTTTTTTTACTCTGCTCGTGTGTGGGTTGACCAGCATGTTGTTGAACTCCCCCCCCCACCCACTTTAACCTTGCAGACGCTGACCCGCCGCCATGTGGGTCCAGTGTGCCATGACAATTGACAATGTTTGGCGAGGCGGGGTAGCTGTGAGTCGTCCAGCCCCTCCGGCTGGCGCGACGCGCGCCGATCAGACAATGGAGGACCTCTGCCGACCTCTGCTGGCGGCTGTTCTTAACAAGAAAGAATCCGCGCTTTTGTAATTTTATTTTAAAGACCGCCATGCCCTTGACTTCCTTAGTAAGGGGTAACAGAAAAGAGAAAGTATAATACACGCACCCTCCAAAGAATGTAAATTTTCGTCAGCCTTGTCGATTTAGAACCCAATGGTCCACGTAAGTGGCGTCGTGAACCGTGACTATAGAACACGTTCACGACACTTCAGAAATTATTTTTTTTGCAAGGGTTACAGGAAATTTTCCATGATGTGAAATTACTACTTGCAATTGTAAAATTGCAAGCACTATGTATCCACCTGGAATTGACAACACTTTTGTCCGCCCGCAGAGGCGCCCGAGATCGCGCCGCTGTCCGAGCAGACGCACTACCTGCGGGGCTCGCGGCTGTACCTGACGTGCCTGGCGACCCGCGGCGACGGCCCGCTGCACTTCCGCTGGCTCAAGGACGGCTCGCCGCTGGCGTCCGACGCGGCCCAGACCCCCGGCGTCGTGGCCAGGACGCTGGACGACTTCTCGACGGCGCTCACCTTCCCCGCGCTGCAGCCCGCCCACTCGGGCAACTACACCTGCGAGCTGCGCAACGACGCGGCCGTGGCCACGCGCTCCGCCCAGGTCGTCGTCACAGGTACTTGTTAAATGCGGTCAATGAAGTTCAGCACAATTAATCAATCACTACTACAGTGAAACATTTTTGCGAGGGGTCTACAACTCGCCTCACATCAGCCGTGTACTTTTGAGTATATTTTATAAGGACTATAGCATGATTATAAGATTATAGAATGATTATAAGATTATGGAATGATTATAGTCATTAACGTCATGATTACCTAATCGACCCAAGATTTCGGATCTGGTAACCGATTTTGGTTTTTGTCTCGAAAATAAAGGGTATTCATGAAGTATGATCTCACTCCAATTTAAGGTCCCTTGGCTCAAGCGGTTTAGGAAGTACAAATACCAAAAATTTTGAGGCAAAAACTGCGTATTTGAGAAGCGGTACACGTAAAATTTGTATGAATCCTTGAAGTACGGTCAAAACTGACTACACCATTGGAAAGAGAATTGAAAACTGATTCAAAACCAACCATGCTGCTAAAAGTTGGATTTTTGTTTCCTATACCCCTCGATCAAATGTATCAAAAAAATTAGCAGAATGTCGTAACTCTCATAACCAAAATAGATAGTCTTCAATTGTCACCAAATTTGGTTTGCAGCTTCCCTTAAGGAAGGTCCCTTAACAATCTCTGATT